CGAGGCCCTGGCCAACGCTCGACCAGACCAGAGTGCCAGGGGCCTTGGGGCGGAGGGCCGAGTGTAGCGGCGAGACAGGCAGCGCCAAAGGGGGTTGCATCGAGCGACAGGCGACACACGGGGGGCTGTGACGCCAGCGCCAGCGCCCTGAGAGAACGGGCGGGTGAGCCGCGATAGTGCACTAACGTCTTTGCACATGCTCGCGCCTGAGCGTTGATGGCGCGCAAGCACCGAGTCCACTGCGGCGCCCCACCCAGCCGCCCACGACCCAATCACCTTGCCGCAGCGGCTGAACGCCTGAGAACCCACTGAGCGCACGCAGGATGAGTGAGCGGAGGAGCGGCGGCCAGAGCACCGGCAGGAGGAGCTTACGCGTCCACCGCCCACCTCCCCGCCTGATCCCTGCTCTGCCCACGCCGGTCCCTGCCCGTCCCTGCCAGCGCCTCGCTCCAGTGGCCCAGACGGCGTTTGACTCGCTGGCGGCGCCCTGCCCTGCCCGGGCAAACTGCGCCCGGGATCCCTCCACCCCCCCGGATGTCCGCAGAACCCAGACGGAGAGCCAAGAGACAAGGCACCCATTCCATTCATAGCGCCTCCCCTCCCCCCTTCCCGTCCGTTTCGTGGCCTGACTCTCCCTCTCCCTCTTTCCTCTGCCTCGCCTCCCCAATCTTTTATTCCTCGACTCACCATCAAAACATTCTCAAGCATTGCGTTCACGGCTTTCAAAATCCTGTCTGTCGCTCCGAACCACAAGGAATCCGCTCCCGAGCCCACCTGAGCCAGGTTCGCCACCCGCCGATTGAGTCGCGATACCGCTGCCCACCATGTCGGCCCCGGCCCAGAACAACGTCGACCTCGACGCTCTGCTCGACCTCTCCGAGTATGACAACAACTACAACTCTCCTTCGCTCTCGCCCTCCACCACCTCCAAGCCCACCTTCGCCAGCCCAGTCACTGCCTCCGTGGCCACTCCCAGCGTCCCGACGACGTCGCAGACGCTGAGCGGGCCGAGTCACAACTATGACATGTACCGCCAGCAGACGGGTTTCGTGCCCGGCGCCATCGCCAACACCATGGCGGTCAACCAGTCAAACAACACGGGCTACCAGGACTTTGGCAGCCTCGACTACCTCACGAGCTTCACCCCGGAGAATGATGTCTTTGACTTCAACACCTCGCCCTCGCAGGGCACCATGGACATGGACTTCGAGTCCCCCGCCGACTCGCAACAGTTCTTCAACACGGTGAACCCCAGCAGCATCGAGCAGGAGTCGTCCAATCTGGCCTCGCCCTCGATGTCGTCCTCGACGGGTAGCGTTGGCCGTCTCTGGCCTGGCGCCCATTCCCAGGCCGCCCTTGCCAAGGCCCAGGCTCAGCAGCGACAGCAGCAGCACATCATCCAGCAGCAGCAGGTTCAGCGCCAGGGTGTGCAGCAAAAGTCGCGTGGCAAGGCTCCCCAGCCCACCGACCCCATCGTCGAGCAGAAGATCACTCAGCTCCTCAACTCGATGCGGGCCAAGACGTCGTCGCCCGACTCCCAGAACCCGTCTGCCCACACCAACCTGCCTCGGGCCAAGAAGGACGAGGAGGAGATGGATGAGGATGAACGTCTGCTCGCCAGTGAGGAGGGCAAGAAGCTCAGCAGCAAGGAGCGCAGACAGCTCCGCAACAAGGTTTCGGCCCGCGCTTTCCGCTCCCGAAGAAAGGGTAAGTCCCAACTACAAGCAAAGCAGTCTTCAATCGATGCTAACATGTTTCGCAGAGTACATCACCCAGCTTGAGGCTGAGATCGCCAACAAGGTCAACGAGAACGGAGACCTCCGTGCCCAGAACCGTGCCCTCGCGGATGAGAACAGGCGCCTGTCTGACCTCACCCGCATGCTCCTCTCATCTCCTTCCTTCTCCACTTTCCTTGACCACCTCAGCACCAACCCGACAGCCATGCCTCAGGCTGCTCAAGTCAAGGTCGAGCAGCAGCAGCAGGAGCAGGCGCAGATCCCCAAGGACGTCAACCCTTACGGCTCTCAATCACAACAGCAGCAGATCGGCATGGCCATGATTCCCGAGCAGACCATGGACTTTTCGCTGCTGAGTCTCGACAACTCGTCGTACAACTACCAGCCCCAGGTCTTTGTCGTCGACACCCCTGAGGTGCCCGCCGCCATCGACGCGTCCGTCCTTTCCGGCAAGTCCTCCAACTTCGTCGAGGAGTCCTTCCAGAGCGACGATGAGAAGGTTGAGGTTCCCGTCATCGAGCGTCCCTCTGAGGTGCGCGAGGTTGCCGAGCCCACCGAGGTGACGACGGTCGACGAGGACTTCGAGACCGACCCCGAGTTTGCACTGTTTCACTCGGAGCCTGTCACCGTGTCGGAGGCGCCAAAGACGGTCGACACCGAGTCCCTCACCAGCGTGGACATTTTCGGTGGCATCGAGGCCGAGAAGGTGCTTTCGCGCTACGAGCTTGTTGATGCCTCCGATGAGGAGGCGTCGGCAACGTTCGCCATGGCCCGGGTACAACGCATCAGCGCCAGCCTCGAGTCTGTCGTGTCAAGGTTAGAGCTTCTCACGATGGAGCTGTAGGCGGGCTACTGGAAGCGGTAATATCTTGATTGGCACCTTCTCTGCATGCATCAGGCGAGTTTTATTTTGTCACGGGTATTTAGGCGTTTGGGAAAGACCACATATGGTCGGTCAAATACGGATAGGTCGGGATCCAGGAGTACATCGCCGGAACAGGGCGGGATTGAGCACAATGCTCGGCGATTGTATAGATAGAGCTAGGCTTGCCGCCACTCGATGAATATCAGAATATCAAGCCACTGGCATGTGTCATTTCTTCCTCGGTGAATGTACTGAATATGGGGAGCCTAGCAAGGAACGGCTTCCTGATTCTAGTTGATTCTAATGCACTATTTTCGTCTCGTGCGTGTCTGGGTTCATGTCGCAGATCTCCCGGACATGACGTAGGGTTAACCGTGGAGTTGATCATTGCCATTATTCGTAACTCTTTCCCGACCTGTCCGAGTCACGACTCCTCCTCTCATTCCTGGATATTTGGTCAATTCCTTGATTCCCCCAACTGCCCAAGCTGGGTAGTAGACCAACGGCTACAGGTTTTGTTTCTGCTACTGTCGAATAAACAACGCTGCTAGATCGAGATCGGATGCTCCTTTGTGGAGCGCGGTGCATTCTCCGTCGTCGTTTTCCCCAGCAGCGGGCCTCCGTTCTCCAATTTTTACAGTCTCCTGGCCCCTTCCCCTGGTGCCTTTCTCCTGGAAAAAACTGGGGGGACTTGTAACTTTCTCCTGAAGATCGATTGCGATGGGGTGGTTAATGCCGCGTGAGCTTCTTTTTGTGCACTGGGGCGTGGCGAGTGGATTGGAGGAGCCTTGGGTGGTCCTTGGGCTTCCATGCTGCGTCGTCGTCTTGGGGTGGTGCTGTGGACGTGGCTGGCTGGCAAGGCTCGTCGGCGTCTGTCTCGAAGACTCGACGCCCTTGAGCTCTGTTCTGTGGCTCAACTCAGCATCGCATCGCATGTGCACCAGGAGATGTCGTAGACTGCACGTCCCCTTGACGGAGGTGCGGGTGGAGGGTTTCGAGGGACGCCTCAGGAGAATGAAGTATCGTCAGCGCATCGCGAACGCCTCGTCTTCCAAGTCGGCATCCCGCAGCGCCTCGCCGTTCATGATGCCGTGGACGTAGCACTCCCCCACGAGACTCCATCCTCCTTCACCGTCGCCTCCCTCCATCTTCCTCAGCACAAAGGGCGTCCGCCCGCCGTACAGCACCGCGACGACATCCCCCTCGCGCATGGCATCCGGCCCCATGACGTACCGCCCCCCGGCCGTGACGCCGAAGCGCCGGTACCGCGTCACGAGCGTCGCCTCGTGGCTCCACTTGAAGGCGTCGCCGGCCGGCCGGCCCGTGGCGGCGTCGGCCCTGGCGGCGGCGCGGATCGCGGGGGAGATGCGCTGTGGCGGGATGCCGGAGCGGGAGAGGTAGGCGGCGCCGCCGGCGAGCCACCTGCGCGAGGGGATGGAGGCGTAGGGGCGGGAGCGGTCCACGCCGATGCAGGCGTTGGTGAGGGTCTGGATGAGCGCGAAGAAGGAAGACGCTTCGAACCCGCCGTCGTCGTTGTCATCCTCCGTCTCCGCGCCCGCACCGCCCGGATACCGATCATCTAGGTTAAACGTGTCGTAGCCGCAGTACTCGCGCCACAGCACGTCCACCGAGTTGGAGTACGAGTTCGCCTGCTTAAACTGAAACGCCTTGCCGTAGAACACCCACGACCGCTTGGCGATGGTGTCGACGCGGAAGCCGCGCGCGTGCAGCAGCCGCTTCTCCTCATCGACGACCAGCTGCGGGAGGGTGTCGCGCGCGGCGCGGTGCGGCGTCTGGGGCGAGCCGATCATGTGGACGGGCAGGACGCGCCAGTCGGGCACCCACGAGGGGAGGCGCAGGTCCGTCTGGTCAAAGGGCGTCCTGCGCTGGGGCCCGTCGGCGTTGTGGTTCGCCGACAGCAGGATCAGCGAGGTGGCGCCCTTGAGGACGCGGACGGCCACGTCGACGTAGACGTCGGCGACGGGGCGCGCGTAGTCGGCCTGCAGGCCCGCGAGCGCCCAGCTGCCCTTGCGGACGGAGAAGTGGCCGAGGAAGGCGTAGACGTGGTCGCGGGGGTCGCGGGCGAGCATGTGGCGCGCGCGGTGCAGCTCGTAGACGAAGCTGCCGCGGTTGTGGTGCTCGTCGTACGACGACGACGACGACGACGACGACGAGTTGCCTTTGCCGCTGTTGCTGCCGCCCGCGACGACGACGCCCGGCTCGACGAAGCGCCGGTGCAGGTAGCGGATGTTGGGGGTGCCGATGCCGAAGCGCGCGCGCAGGTGGTGATAGTCCTGGTTGAGGACGCCGGCGACGTGCGAGAGGACCTGCCAGTCGAGCTCCGAGGCGCCCCAGAAGAGCGTCGCGGGCGCGTCGGTGCCGATTTCCTGGACGATCCAGATGCGGTGGAACTAGCACACGGTCCGCCGGGGTCAGCATGTGAGCGAGTTCTTCTGTTCGACGAGAGGCGTCGCATGGGACGGGGAAGGGGGACGAGTGCGCATGCATACCCACGGCAGCTTGGTCATCTTGGACAGCGGCATCCACGGCTCCCGCCTCTGCAGATGCAGCTCCTCCGAGTGCGCCTTCTTGAACGCCCTGTGGCGCTCCTCGTCGCGGAACACGGCGTCGAGGTCGCGGACCATGCGCGCCGCGTCCTCGGCCACGCCCTCGCCGTCCCTGCCCAGCCAGACGAGGATGCGGGCGGCGCCGCGGTAGATGGCGTTCATGAGGCGGACCTGCTGGCTGCGCTCGGCGAGGTCGTCCTGGTTGATGCAGATCTGGTCGGCCCAGATGCGGCGCGGCGCGTCGCGCAGGCGCACGCGCGCGAGGGCATCGTGGAGGCTGGCCGTCAGGGGCAGCGCGGCTGGTTGCCGGTGGTGGCCATCGTCGTTGTCGTTGGCGTTGTCGTCGTGGACGAAGAGCGCGTGGTCGCGCGACCCGGTGCCCCAGGCGTACGAGATGGTCTCGTACGGCGCGACGGCGGGCGCAAACGACGAGGCGGTGGCGTCGAGGAGCGCTTCCTCTATCGTGCCCGTGAGCGGGGACGATGCGTCGTCGCTGGGCTCGAGCGTCAGGATGCGGATGGAGCGCGCGTCTGGCAGGCGGCTGTAGATGTAGCTGGGCGGCGCTGCAGACGAACTCGGTTCCTGCGGCGCGGCCATGGGGTTGGATGCGTCGAGAGCTGCGCGCCAGCAGCTCCCGCGATGCTCTCTCGCCGGTGGTGGGGGAGGGGAACGACGCGTGAGGTGAGAGTGAGACTGTGGAGGGGGTGGGTGATGTCGCCGGTGAGACGAGACGATGGTGGATGGGGCGGCACGAGCCGTCCCGCCCATCTCACATCACCCAGTTCAATTGTGGCTCAGGCTTTGCAACTCAATTATTTGCCAGAACGTGAGACGGGAGTCGGCTTGGGTGAGGCTCGTTATTTGAAATTGAAGAAGTAACCATTTCTTGAAGTTCAATCGCTGACGATGGAGATCGACCCAACCTAGTCCCTCAACTGCCCTCATCAACGGGCACACCGAGACCATAAGTCCCCTCCCCGAAACGCTTCTGTACTAAGTAATTTATACCATGAACAATACTGCCGTGGTATTTGTCATGAATTGGAGTCCTGGCACCTTGTTAAGTACTAATAAGTAGTCGGGATATGAGAATCATCTGCCGAGTCGCAGCTACAAGTCAACTGGACTGCCCCCAGTGAAGCCTTCGTCTGGATAAGCAGCTCAGGTGTTCACCACGAGGCCGCAGCAGACCAAACAATCCGCATGCTTGAACAGATATCATAAGCTAGTTTTCGGGTCGTGATTGATGAACAAGGCCGTTACTTTGAGGCCGCCGACCCGGTCAGCTGATCGATTGGGGGCCGTACGGCCGTACCACCCACTCGTGAGGCTAAGTAACAAGGCATCGCATAGCCCCCAACTGCCTTCCCTCACCCGCGCGCAAACGCTGTCTCAGCATAGCAACATCTTGCGATGGACCCAACAGCCGTGGTTGGCCTCGTAGCTAGCTGCGCCAAGCTCGCCGACATAATCCTCAAGACAACGACAACGCTCAACGCGTTGCGCGGCAGGTTCAACACATCAGAGATTGCCGTTACGTCTCTGGTGACGCAACTGCAGGCGCTGGAGGCATCCACTTCAGAGCTCAGGTCTCTGCTGGAGGATCGCGGCCCGTCGGTCAGCCAGAGTGAGAAGCTGGTCACCTCCCTGGATGCGTGCTTGATCTCGGCGACCACCATCATCCAGCCTCTGCGGGACCAGGTTTCAGAAGCGTGGTCGTCCATCGACTCGGGTAAGCGATGGGGCAGGTGGGGGAGGGCCAAGTATGTCATGAATGAGGCCTCCCTGGTGCCGCTGAAGGAGGCGATACGCGATCAGGTCCAGGCCATGCAGCTGCTACTCACAGTGTCTTTCTTGTACAGTTGACACCGTCTTTCGTCGCAACTACGTTTCAATCACTTACGTCTGTATAGAAGGAACGACGCCGACCGCACCGCGGCTTTAGACGACGAAGACAATGCTGCCGTGCTGCAGCGAGCGCGCGATGACAGCTCCTCGCTCATATGGCTACGAGATGCCGACTCGAGGGCGTCCTTTGTCAGCTTCCAATCCGACACATTGTCGCGCCTGAGCATGGTATTTGGCTTCGATCACGACGTCATGGACTCTGCGCCATACAGAAGGGCCGTCACGACGGCGTGGAAGCGGCTCCGAGAGCGCCAGAAAGAAGATCCCAACCGTGAAGCTCCCCACGCCGTCACACGCGGCGAGGATATCGAGTCGCCCGCCACTGACGATCCGCTCCCGCCTACCACCTTGAACCACCTCGGCGGGATGCGATACTCCCTCGCCATGATCGTCGCATATGACTTTGAGGCCACGCGCTCCGATGAGCTGGACTGTCGGACGGGCGAGATCCTCATCCCTTGCGCCTTATCTAATGACGAATGGGTCGTGGCAAAGCCCATCAGCCGGCTCGGAGGCCCCGGGTTGGTACCGATCAATTTTCTCTCCGTCGTCGCGCGGTCTGGCAAGATTTGCGAGACAGGCGAGGAGGCGTTGAGAGAGTTCAGAAAAGTTGGCCTTCCCCGGATTGAAGAGTGGAAAAAGAGGGCTGCAAAGTACAAAGAGGAGTTTATTCTACTGTCCGAGACGCCCGAGGCGCCAGCGACCAAGGACGAATAAAGCTGCCTTCGGAGCAGGCCGCATCAACTTTCCGATGACACCTGAGGTCGGACATTGAGACGCAGGCCCTTGACCATATCATGATACACCTCGCGCTGGCTCTACAGGATCGACCATGAGCGATTCGCTGGGTGCAACAGACGGCTTGAGCAAACCTCTTGTCCCGATCCTTTTTACAGTTCGCCAAAATCGCCAACAAAAGAGGGCTTGGCAGACACAGTTCTGCCTCGCGTTAACCCCAAGCTGACGGGGCGGGGTTACGCCCGTCTCTGCGCAGCTGCGCCGGGGAGTCGATTCTCACCTTGCCGTTCGGGTCATCATGCTGCCCGCAGATCACAGCTGACTGGGCCACCTGGAATCCCCCAGCTATCGTGCATGAAGCTACTTGCGGCGCAGCGTTTCAATATGAACCCATCAATGTGCTCTCTTTCACGTTGTCGCCATGAAGGACTCAACATCTCAATCTCTACGACGTCAACGTCAAACCGTCTTCACAGCACAACATGACAAACATATACCTGCCCTCAACAAGCCCCTACATCAGCCAAGCGACATGGGCAGCCGCCATCAACCACCTCTTCAACGGGCCAGAGTCAGAAGTTGAAGCGACTTTATCGAGGCTTTACAGCAAAGACTGTGTTGTGAGGAGAAAGGGGGACAGGCTGAGCTGGGCCGCCATCTACGCCCAGGTCATGAAGATACGGCAGCAGATCAACTCTATACAAATCACCAGTCAGCGCTGGGTACGCAACGGAAGCCTCTTCGCGGAAAAGCATACCGTCGTTGCGGCTTACAAGAACGGCAAGGGGGGCATGTCTGAAGTCATGATGATGGGCGGGCTCAATGATGATGGCACTGCCGCGTGGCTGGACGAGATGTCCCGTACCACTGTTACTCCCTTGTTTCGGGTGCAGTGGTAGAGGCCAGGAGTCAGAAAAAAGAAGGAGGGATCATCCAGTAGCGCGTGCTTTCGGTCCAGCGGCATGTGGAGGACGAGCGAAGTTTGTGTTGTTTCGCAGCTTGGCCCTTCGTTCATCAGTCAATAGGGTAGGGTCAGTCAAGAAGTCTCGAGGAATCTGGACAAGCGCGTTCCACAATGCCGATTATCTGCATGTAGCTACTGGCACACCTGTTCACAAACATGAACAGTTACCAGAGTCAATTCACGCCAGACTCTTTGTCGAGTCAAGCCTAATCCGAGAATCATTAGACCACCAAGTTGCATGTATATCCTACTGGTTTGTATTGCTCGAGACAGAAGACTCATCTTCGATCAGCCCGCTGAATCACTTACACCCACTCCGATGGCCCAAAGGTGCCATTCTCGGGCAATGCCTTCCAGGGAATCCCTTGTCCGTCAACCGTCGTGCCTTGAACGTTATTCCCCCACCAGCTCAGGTTCACCTTGGGGAACACCAAGGCAAAGAAGATGACAATGGCTGAGATAGCCAGACCAGAATCGAGAGCAGCCGAAAGGACGTAGTTGTACTACACGTGAGGTGAGCATGATGCGCTGCCGATATCTCTCTGATGAGCTCTTGACTTACCTTTCCCCACCAATGCGGATATCGCCCTCGGATCCAGCGATTGAAAATAAACGACACTGCAAAGGCAGACGTGTAGTTGATCCCTGTCGCCGGGGGCACATTACCCGTGCCGGCAAAGAAAAGCGGCCAGTGCAGGTTCGCCAGGAATCTGGATTCGGGGAACCTCCGTCTCAGAACAAAAGTCACCACGGGGAGCAGAGCGCCAATCCAAAATAAGTGCAGCAGCCCAGAGTACATCTTGCCAATACTATACAGCCTCGCCGGACCGATCGCGCCCCATACGACGCTCGACGAAAAGTTGACTCTCCCCTGCGGGCACGTGTATCCGTTTCGCTGGTCACTCTCGCAGATGCCGTCCACGTTGTTGAGCATCCAGAGCACCACGGCGTTTTGCGTCAGCGAGCCGACGACGCAGGCCGTCAGCTGCGCGGCAAAGAGCGTCCGTCGAGGCACCTTCATGTACAGGCCGAGCTTCATGTCTGACGCGAAGATCATGGCCTGGCTAAGCCCCGTGTAGGCGTAGAACTTGAAGATGAGCATGACGATGGGGCGCCCTGGGAGTAGGTAGCCTGAGATGATCTCCCCGAGGACGGTGAGCACGTTGCTGTTGAGGTTGGCGACTGCGTATACGCTCCCGGTGGGGATGAGATAGAAGATGGCGAGGCCAAATGCCACGGCGATGCCCCAGACCGGCATGCCGGTGTGGTAGACCTCTTGCACCATGATGGTCAGACCAAAGATGAGGACACTCAGGGCAGCATACCACCACCAAGGCGTATCAGAGTAGCGCTCAATAAGGCGCGCGTGAATGTCCTTCTTGCGGTTAGGATTAAACGCGCCGATCATGTCGCGCCAGTAGTTCAAGAAGATGTACGTCGGCACGCAGCTCATCACGGCGAAAGAAATGCCGTACCCGAGCGCAAACGTCACGGGCATGAAGATGGGGCTGTACTTGCGGTATTCGTCGACGAGGAATTTGCCACCCTTGTCCACGATGCGCGTGGCGTTGTATACGCTGCCCGTGTTGTCGTACGTGTCGCCACCTGAGAAGGGGAGGTATGCAGTGTACCAGGTGTTCGTGTAATACAGGATTGGCGTGATGACGGCGAACAGGATGACCCATCCCGCAAAGACGTTTGCCTGAGCCCAAAAGGGGACGACGAGCGGCGATCCGTTGTAGGCGACTTGGGACCAGTCGAATGTGGTAGGTAGGTAGGCGAGACCCGTCGTCATGCCAAAGAGGTTGTTGACGACCACATTGTCTATGAAGTTAGTCTCCTTCTCCGGTGACATCGTCCTGGGCGGACTTACTGGGCGCGGCCCAGCAGATGAATGCAAATGTACTCAGGCCAGTGAACAGGAAGCCCGGAAGCCAGTACTGCAGCTTGCCTCAGCAGACGCAGCGCAATTCCTACAGGAGGGACTTACCCATAGCCAGCCACCAGCAAAGACATACATGAAGAAGCGATACCTCGACACCGTCCACCCATCGGCCTCGGGGTTCGCCCGCCCATGAAGCGTCTGAAACAGCGCCGCATTAGCCAGCGTCGACGGCCAGACCATATGCGGCGGCTCAACGATGAACCTATACGCCATTCCCGCCATACCCAGCCCAAAGAGCTGCATCGTCAGCGCCAGCAGAAACTGGTACCCGGCGGGCGTATCGAGTCCATAAAACGCCGACGCCTTTTGCGCCTGAATAATGTCGGTGGCCCACGACGGGCCAAACGAGAGGTTCGACATGATGGTGACGACGGCGTGCTCCTTGATGTTGAAGTGGTGGTCCGGGTTGAGGCAGAACTCGCGCCCGAACAGCCGCAGCTTCATCACGGGGAGGAGGTGCGCGACGGCGCGACCGACGGGGAAGGCGAGCAGCTGCGCGACGAGGGAGGAGATGGTCACGCTGGGGTACCGCATGGAGAAGAATTGGTTGATGCCGGTGCCGATGATAGTGAAGAGCACGCCGATGACCCACATGCGCAGGGTGTTGACGGGCATGGACGGGTCGTCTACGTTGGGGACGTTGGCGCGTACTTCGGGGAGTGGGGAGTTGTCCGAGTCGATGTCGTAGTGTTCCTCGATGTCGGCGATGGCGATGGCGGTCGCCTTGTCTGGCGTCTGGAACTCATCGTGACCTTCCTCTCTGACATCGCCAGAGCCTTCGGGAAGCGTGTCGCCTACTGGCATGGCCATGACCAAAGCAAGGTCGAGTCAAGGTGAGCCGCTTTCAGATGGCAGGATGCTGTGAGTCGAGGAACGGAATATGCAAAGGAGCACGACAAGCGGAGTTCCATCCGTGGAACATGACGGAAGTTCCTTCATCTTTTATATCTTTGACAGACCCAGAATGATGCGCTGAGCGTCTGTCGCGTTGCGTATAGGGCCATAGCCTCGACTGCCGGTGCGATACCCCAGGCGAACCCTGGATCACCACCGGCAAGCCCCTTGCAGTCAATGCGGGGGATCACCCAACATGTAGACGGCCTGGTGCGAGGGGAAGGTCCAAGACGATCGCCCCTGGGATGTGTGTTTCGCCCCGCCAATCAACGCTGTGCAGCTCGCCAAACACGACTCATGCTTCCACGCCACGGAGCGCAGGCACGCGGCCAACGTGTGAGGGGGAGATGAAGCAGCCAACTGATGTAAGGTCCAAGCCGACTTGAGTTCATCAAGTTGTTGCACGAGACGTTGGTGGCTCCCACTGGGCGTTCTCAGTAAGAGGGACGGGTTCCGAGTTGAAGTTGAGTGGAGCAACGCCAATGCTACATGCAGTGACAACTTACATGTAAGTCCTGTCTGCCACGACGACAGTCACGCAGGATGATGCTCGAAACTGACGACTCTCAATGATGTTTATTAGGAAGCACCCCGGATCTCCTTCCACCATTTCATCACGGACAAACCCTCATCAGGGCCCTCTAGCCCAGTACCAAGAAACAAAGATCAAGCCCGTCGCTCGCCGCAGTGCCCTTGCCTCCTCACCAGCACTTGCAGCCGCAGTCGCTGCAGATCGACAAGTCGCACGCCGCAGTGCCATGCCTGATCGCATCGAAGCACGTCGCGTCGCTCGAGCACGAAAGCCGCTTCCCGCCCTTCGACTCGGCCATCCAGCACCAGGTGCCCTCGTCCTCGTTGCACGAGCGCCAGCAGCGGCCGTTGTCGCAGCCGTGGCCCCGGCGGCAGGTGCCCGCGGCAACGGTGCCGTTGTCGTCGTTGCCGACGGTGACGTCCTGGACGTCGAGCATGGGCGGCGTGGGGGACGCGAGCGCGGCGGTGGCGGCGAGGCCGAGGGCGGTGGTCAGAGCGAGGACCTTCATTGTCGGTGATGTGATGGGATGTTGCGAGGATGGATTGTCTTTGCTGGGCTGTTGTCAGCGCTGCCGTCTCGAGGACTGTACGGAAGGAGGCACACCTGTTGCTCTGGCAAGTCGGCTACAAGAAGCTGCTTTCTGCACGGTTGCTTGTCGAAGGCGTTTCTTCACACGAAAAGGCACGTGGCGATGAAGGCTGCAGTAGCACGGGAGCAAGCAAAAAGTCAGAGTCACACTGCCCTCGCACTCGAGCTTTTTATTCTTCCTACAGATTCTACAATTGCGCAACTTCCCTCCTTCTCCAGTGAATCATCTAGCCATGCACCTGTAGATGGGATCGGAATGGCGGTCTGCATTCTTCTCGAGTCTCTATCTGGGAAATGATATCTAGCTACGTTCATGTTGGCGACATGAGATGTACCCCCGGTGGACATGAGATGGGCAGTAGGATGGGCAAAACAATGTGAGGGAAACGAACAGATGCCCCTCAGAAGAACTACCCCCATGCCTCGCCGAGTTCTTCAACGACTGTTCCCTCCCTCGGAACCAATGGAACTCGCACCGAGTGCCAGGCATAAGCCCCCGGGCGGCGGCTCCGGGACGGCCCCACAATTCTGGCCGCCACGCTCGGAGTAAGGCACGGTGATGTCCCCGCATCTTCGGCGTTGACCTCACACAAAAGCAGTTCAACAAGGCGTTGCCCGGGAAGGGACATAAAGCACACAGCTTGTCAGACACGTCACCTGTCTTTGTTGAAGCATTTTTATAGAGCAATGCTAAAATTCAACCGCCTTTGATGTAGTCTATGCTGTCCGCAGGGTATCTTGGGGCACTTGCCGCCCGTCTAATAAGTCACACCGCAGAACGCCTTAAAAAAACCATCGAATGCCCCCCCGTGTCCCAAACCCCATCAAAGTCCCCATTCATCAACAATCGTCGGCCTCTGCACAGCAAGCCCCTTCGAACTGCTGAGCCAGGCGCGGCACGCCTCATAGTGCGCGTAATCGCTTGGATCATCGTCTCGAGAGTTCATCATCTTAGCGTCTGCCACATCCAGAACGCTCCGGCCATCGGCATCCTTGGCATGGACGTTGGCGCCGTGGTTGACGAGCGCCTTCATCGCCAGCTTGCGCCCGCACCGGACCGCAATGTGCAGAGCTGTCTCGCCAGCCCGGTTCCGCGCTCGGATATTGGCGCCCCTGTTTATGAGTTCGTCGATAATCTTGGGTCCGGTCTTGTAGTCGTTCTCCTCCGGAAGCTCGGCAACAAACACCATCAGCGGTGTATTGCCGTTTCCGTCGTACTGGTTCACATCCACCCCCACGTCGAGCAGCCCAGTCACGAGCTGGTGGCGGAAAACCAGCCTCGCTTCCCACGAGTCCAGAGAGTTATCAAACTGATTCGACAACGCAGTAAACGCCTCGTCGCTGCCCGGTACAAGCTGGTACTTCTGTAATACACTTGCGTTGCTAAGCGTGGCCATGGCGAGAGAGTGAAGGCCGTTGCCACCGTCGTCGTTCTCCAACCAAGGCTGATTTTGTGCCGTGCAAACATGCAGCAGAAGACGCGCCTCCTCTTCGATGGCGAATTCATGGCTAATTCTGCAAGCATAGTTGGTTGGTGGACCGTCAAGTTCCATCTCGTCCGCAGACTGGGGCACAATGCCGAACGCGTCTCTTTTTCGGTACCGGGATGCCTCGTACCGCTGCATTATAAAGCGCATGACGGCAGCATCGATGTGTTCCATGTGCAAGATGTGAAAGAAGTTGCGCCCGTAGACATCCTGTGCGTATATGTCGGCGCCCTTTTCAGACACAACTTCGAGGAGCCGAAAAAGCCGTCCCAGATCTTGGAGTTCGGCGCGGCGTATCGTATGAAGGAATGTTTGGCCGCCAGAGTTTCTAGCATCGAGGATCGGGTGGCAGACATCGGCTTGGAGGATCCGAAGAAGAGCCTCGAACGACCCGCGAGCGGCCAAAAAATGCAAAACCGTGTTACCTGCGGAGTCGCGCTTGCTGATGTCGGCACGACTAGGCCCCGAAGTCAAGATGCGTTGGCCGACGGGCGTCAGGCCCAAAGCCGTCACCCATGCTGACTCGTAGGATCCAAACATGGGCAGGCACGTGCAGCGCATCTGTTGATGAGCTTCCGGGGCAAAGCCAAGAGCTATCTCCCGCTGACACATGTCCAGCCAGAGAAAGTCGCCAGGGAGCGGGTGGGGTTCGCCATCAAAAGCCTGTGGACCGTGACGATCATCCAGCCATAGATGTCGCGGGGTTACGCCAGCCGAGATGGGCGATATGCTGACTCTGCTGCTCATTGGAGCGGTGAAGCGCTTGACGAGCCTCTTGACAGTCTGTATATACGGTTCGGTGTAGTCAGACAGGACACGATGGAAAGAGCCGGTGGTGCGGTCGGTCGAGGACGAGAGACATGTAGTGCGACGGAGAAACGAGTTGAAGACGCCTTCATCTGAAGCATCCGGCCCGTACGCCTGGGCACCAGCTGGCTGCATTGGTGATGCCGCCGCAGAGATTTGGGTACTGGATGTCGTACGCTGGTGCACAGGTAGGCTCTGAGCCGGGCTGATCGGCAGGCCATGGTTGACAGGTGACAGGTCCCACGGCATGGGACTCGCGCTGGCCTCGAGCTTGACACCACCTGGGCTGGGTGAGAGACGGGTCGGGTCGCTGGGGGGTTGGGGTGATGTTGTGTCCGATGCCGATGCCGATGCTAATCTAGCTGGCGAGTTGGAGAGCTGCGTAACGCGGCGGCCCATGTCGGCCTTGGAGCGTGGATGAAGCCATCGGGGCTCTTTGTCGAGCAGCGCGTTCAGCTTCTTGTTTGCCGAGTCGATGCTGTCCGAATGTTAGTTGACTCCAGCTTCGACTTGCATGCTGCGGTAGTGGACAGCGCGTAGCGGCACTCACCCAGGCGCCGAGTCGGGCGTGCGACAGTGAACGAGCTTGACGATGGTGTCGAGCGGCAACGTGGTATAGACGTAGAGGCGTGTCATCTTACGCTGGGCCGACTTGGTCCACAGCGGCGGCCGGCCGGTCTGCGTGTTGGCGCTGGCGGCAGATGGCGATGCGGACGACGCCGGGATGGTCAGCTTCGGCGGGGTTGGTTGCTCCATTGTCTCAGCTGGAGAACGGGCGGCTAATGCGAGGTTCGATTCGACTGGCCCAGCGCGGACGAGGTGAGAACCCCGCGACTGGTGACCATGCATGTAGAGGACGTATCGACATGGCGACGAACTGGGGGCGTGGCCTGTCTTTAAAGAAGCGACTGCTTGTTGGCCAATGGATCAAGCCTCACCTGCGTGTCTTCCCTCCCTGCGTGGAGGGAACAACTCGTCAAAGCAGGCAGCACAGCGATTGTCACCGTCATAGGACGTCGATAGTGGCCCTTGCGGACGGCCAGCCATGGGGGCCAAAGGGTGCTTCGCCATGACAGGTGGCCGGGGCATGCGCACGGGAGCTGGTCGCGGCCAGCGGCCTCCACTTGCGAGGGGCAGGAGGAGCAGAAGAAGCAAGCAGCAAACGGTAGTGGGGTGTCGGGAATGATGTGCAGCGCCAAATCCCGGGCAAGGGTGCCAGGATCAGCGACCTGGGCGGCACTCTGTTCTGCGGGCATGGAGGACGGATGAGGCTGCCCGCGATGGTGCTGGTGCGGGCGGCTGTGGCTGGGGGAGCCGGGCAGGGAGAGCTG